TTCCGGTAAGGATATTGAGTGCGCCTGGCGGCGCACTCATTTTTTGTTTTGTTCCAATGTTGGTAAGCGTGTCTGGGACATTCTTATTCCTTTTAATTTGTGCCTCATACAGTTTCGAGGTGCTTTGTCGTAGAAGACAAACGCAGGACGAAAACACGCCGCCCGACGAGAATCGGGCCCAACCGCCGTTGCTAGAAACCTACGCCAGGTCTTTGGAGCTAAGAGATCTGAATTGTGGTGACGGACTGCTTTTATACGTCAGTGATATATGCGGTCGAGTTACTTACGATGGATTTCTACAGCGTTGGAGCGATTACGATGAAGAAACGTGGATTATGCCAAACCATCTTTCCGAAAAATAAGACAAACGGTCGCAGAGCATCAAACAAGCGTCCTGCTACCATGTACGCCGCCGCTACCCGAAGCCGTTCAGCGAAGTATACCAATAGTACGAGTCTTTTATTTTGGGTAATATAAAGAATAGCTCGCTCTATTGATAGATGGACTTGTTAGCTTGAGCGTGTACAAGGAAAAGAGATGGCGAAACGGTATACAGTTGCAGATTCACCGGTCAAACCAACACCGTACCTAAACCCTAGCCCGCTAGTCGAAAATATGAGAAAAACTTGCTTCGCGGGATCTCTACCGCTTCCTTTAACGACTGCGTTCGCTGGTGAGGTTCATGTGCCTTTCCGGAAAGCGATACGATGGTACGATAGTCAATGCATACATGTCCTGGCAACAGGTGGGAGCGCTTAGGAAGACCACACCGTGCTCCGTGATCCAGCTACTTTGGGTGAGGCCAAAGTGATGGCTCCAAGGACCGTGTCTGACTATCAGACTTTTATGGGTGACGTCGACGATCACGATCAGATGAGGCTCCAAAGATAGATATGCTATCTTATCGTGTCTCGAACACGTTTGCATTGCTAAAGGTACTCTCTATAGCACAAGAAGTGCAATCGTGGGTTCTTGAACTAATTTAATGGACCTGGTTATCATCAACGCTTTCGTTGTCTACAACTGACGTCGCACCCAATACGGCCAATGGGAGGTGTCGTACGTGGTCCTCAGATAGGAGCTGTACCAGCTCTTATCTGAGGACTGACAGTAGCTACTGCGTCACAGCGGCCTTCAACCAACACCGATACAAGACCGCGAGACGTTTTGTCATACACGGATGCAGACGAACGAATGACGGAAAGGGGGTGTCACCAGGCCAGATAGCGCCGGCAGTGCGCGTGTAAGGGCTATTGGGCTCTCGAAACGAATGGAGAGGGGTGGGGGGGACGACTGTGATAAACCTGCTTCGTTCTTCGAGATCTGGCACAAATGTTGGAAAAACGGCACATTGATTCCCTAGTCACGCAACAAAAGCAAGATTCGTGCCCGAAACTCAAAGAAGCCTACCGCTGGTGACAACGTCTCCAACCCACCAGACATCAAAGATGAAAGCGACAGCGCACCGCAGCGGAAGCCACACACCAATGATGACACCAACTATCTTTATTTTATAATTGCATTTAGTATACGGTAGTTCTGATTTGTTATCATATGTTCGGCGTCTCTAAATGTGTTAAATTTGCGAAGCTGTAATCGCCACGAAGTCTTGCCATTTCTGCTCGCAGCAGACACCTTTTAAAGCTATTAGCGTGTACTGGGCATCTCAAGATTTTGAAGACACGATATGCGGCGCGGTTAGGGACGAGTCCTGGCTTTGAAATAGACACGACAAAAATAACTTCATGCCTATAAAAGTGCCAATCCTCTCAATAATGTGAAAATTAACAGAGATGTCCAATTTATTAGCGTATCAACCGATTTAAAGTGTTGATAAGCCCGTTTATATTTATACGGATTGCAAAGTTAATTTTAGTGGTCTGTCGTCTAAACCCAACTCAACTTTATAATAACCCACCTTGTTTATCTAAACATAGATTTCTTCGAATGCCCAGGCAGGACTGGGCAATCCAAACATCTGCAACATATATAAACTCGCAACAGAGAAGACACGTGCTTGTGTAGCTGCTAAAATGGGGGAGTTCGGTCAAACCAGCTGAACCAGTGTACCTATTAAAGATGCAGCGTTTGAGTTTGACGAAGAGTAAAGTATCTTCGATAGATTGTATTCGCTAGCGGAAGAAAAGGTAAGCGCAGATCTGGCAAAGTACACTACGAAGCCAACTCACCCAGACAAAAAACTGTACATGAAACCGAGCCAGCATGCCAAGCAAGCTCGGCTCGTACCCCTGTCTAACGAGACTCGACCGTGAATGCTTGCCCAAGCCCGGGCCGACGGCGACAAACATTGGACATTCGACGGACCATTTGTCGTGCACCTGCAGATCTATGCGGCAAAAACGTACGGCAAGGCATTCTTCGCGCGACTGCTAGCCGTGTCGCCGAGGCCGCGGAGGTTATCGACGCCTATCTTGTCGACCGGGCGTCCATGTAGACGATATATCTCGAACGCACTGGGCAATTAGCTACGAGGGATGTCCAAGTAAAAAAGTAATGACTTATTGGCTACACGACTTATCAGAGCGCTGAAAAAAGTTGTCTCCAAAAGTCGTCCCCATGTTCACTCGCCAGGAGACGACTTTTTGACTGACCTATCGAACGGCATGTCTTCAACATGCTCAAAGAGAGTTGGTTTCCTTTTTAAAAGCGTGCTCATCAGGAGCGCACCTTGCCCTGTATGCCTCGCTCCCAGGACAGCGCAAGACAGTGTGGAGCTCTACCACCACGCGATATGACACAGGACGGGAACATGTACGTGCCCCCTGTACGTGCTGCACGCTTTCTTCATAGAGCTGCTGTCACGGCACCTCCATCTTCGGCAGAGTTGCCACCTTACTACACGCAGTATGAAGAGGATCACTCAGAAGACGAAGACGCTGCAGAACAAGCTTCGCCTTCTTCGCCTGCACAGGACCTGACACCAGAGAGAATGCCCAAGAGAAACAGACGCCCCAGCCGTAGGGTTGTTGAAGCTCATCAGTCCTCGATGGCTGCTATCACCAGCACTACCAGCACTGGCCAAGCTCCCAAAGCCAAGCGAAAACGGGTTTCCCGCCCAGTTACGAGCAAGGATAACGCAGAAGATGTCCCTTCAGATGGCCAAACACGCAAGACCAAGAAGCCAAAGAGCTCTGCTGCGTCTACGAAGCCGAAGCCGGTGAAGTCGTCCAAGGCAAAGCAAGCAAACACACAAAATGAAGCAGATGGTGTTCAAGAAGTGAAGAGCATGCACTGGACGATCCAGCTGACTGCTCTAGCAATTGAGGTTCGATTTAAAAACCCACGCATCTTGGCGAAGTTCGCGAAAAAAACTTCAGACACAAAAACAATTCGAGCGATATGGGAGGACACCATCAACGTTTTCCAGGAGCGTGCGCTGCAGGAACATGCTTGGG